GAGAGACAGAATACCTGAACTGGTTGATGATTCAGTGTGGGAATGGGATTGCCGTTGTTGATGCATTTCAGCCAATTTGTTCCTAGTATCTTTGGCAGAACTGATATCCTTTATAAAAGCAAAAACACATGGTGAACATGTAATGTGAAATGCATGTAGAGCTGCAGCATTCTTTTTCGTCTGATCAACCTTGTCAAAAGAGGGAAGAGCATCAGTACCCTTTTCGACCACGTCCCAAAGATCTTGAGTCAACTTTCACTGAAAGCTATTAAGGAAAAATGTCCAATGTTCATACTTTTAAAGTTCGAGAAGAAATGGAACAATTGCATTAGAAGCACCATATGTTGCCACTTCAAATCTATATCAAACCATCACCGAGGAAAAAAAAAAAAGCACCTAAATCAGCTTCTCTGCTCTTATTTAGCAATCATAATTCATAAATAAGATTCAAGCAATCTTAATATTTACTAGAATTACTACACTTAGTCAATTCATGAAGTATCGAATATTGGAAGAGATTGGGGAAGAAAAGAATAAGGAATAATCAAGATGTATGATACCAAATCTTAACAGTCATATGATACCAAACAAAAATGAAGATAAATATCAGTTCATGCGCTAGAAAAATCATCTGATGTATGATTATAAAGCCGCCAGGACAAATAACCATCAATTGAATAAAAAAAAAAAAAGCTAAGTATGGTACGCAACAAGATTACGAGGGGAATAAAGGAAGAGATTGTGGGAAGAAAAGAACAAGGAATAATCTATTCTTTTAAAGTCTTGAAGACCAAAAAGAGAAGATTATTGAATAGTAATTCATACACACTTTAATTTAATATATTTACTAAAACAAATACTTTTTGGTGTAAAATTAAAAGTAAACAAACTTAAAAATATAGTTATGCATAAATAATGTAGAAATTACTCAATTGATTGTATTTATATTATATTTTAATTGATAAATCAAGACGAGGATAAAAAGTGTGTTGAACTTAATGTATGTCAATCATTTTCCTATCATCATCATCGAATAAGTATTTTACAAGATGAACTGTATATTAAAAGTGCAGTCCGTGGTATAAATTTATTAAAATACTTTTAATTTTATAAAATAGATTACACTTTTAATATACAGTCAAACTAAAAAACATAAATTCCTATTATTATTATTATTATTATTATTTTGTTTCATGGTTCCAAAAGGAGACAAAATGGAGAAGAAAAAGAGGCAGAACATAGGCTGAAAATAGAGAGTATAACACTCAAACTCAAGTTTCTCATTAATAAGTTGTTGACACCCCACTTGAAATTTCAAAAATAAATAAATTAAAATTTAATTTTTAAGTTTTAATGATTGAAAATAAGAATTGTCACTCGTTTAAAATTATGAAGTGTGTGACAAGTTATTTAAAATAGTCTATGTAGAGATTGAAGTCCAAGAATATAATTAGGAGTGAGGGGGCATACACATACCTTTCAATCTTCGGTATAAATACAGTTGCATGCTTTGACATTTGAAAAATTATTTCAACTCATAAAACATTCTTTTAAGTTCACGGCCTTAAATGAATGAATCAAACATGCTCAGGTATGTTTGTGAAAATTAAAAGTTTTGGGTCAAGATGCCAACGGACTTGCTAGGCTGTTGGGCTTTAAGGGAGTCTGGCCCATTTCATTTTAATCCCTTTTATTTTTTTTTTCTAACAACCCAAAAATAAAGTCAATAAATAAGGGAGAGAGCGGCGAGTAAGCGAGAAACCGGATTCCAGCCGGGCAAAATGCAGTTTTCCGATGAAGGTCTACCCAGTTCCAACCTATAAACTTTAATTTTTCTCCCCACACATTCCCCTGTATTTTTCCTACCTTTACTTTTTAAGATCCGCTTGATATCTTTCTTACTAACTTTTTCCTATACAAAAATTAAGAGAAATTGTTAGGAAAGAGATGAAACATCCCAGAAAATTATCAACGTATTGCACAGTACTTATTAACTTTACTATGTAGTGCTGATTAACTTTCCGAACACTACTTTCTATGATCCCAGAAAAGTTAATCCTCTATCCGAACAGCCCTAAAATTAGAACAAAAATCAACGTTTCATTTCAATAATTGTACTGAAATTACATAATGATCAAAAAGAAAGAACAAAGGAGGAAAATTGTTACCTAAAGCTTAGGGATTCCCTCTTCTATCCGTGAGCCTTTCCTCTTCTTCTATCCAGAA